TAGAAGATCACAGTATTGCTGTGCTGGGAAACCTGCTGTTATTGTGGTCGTGTTGTGAGTTACAGTGCATTTGGAAAGTATTCACAGTGCTTCACTTTGCTGTCTCAGAGGCCTGAAGAGAATTCGTTCACTGGACTTCATGGCTGCCACTAACGTGCTTACACAGACAGCTGAGTGCCAAACCCATGCCCAATCAGGAAACAGGATGCAGCCGAGTGTCATGGGAAAAGTTACACATGTCAAGTTTTGTTTTTTATTTCAATACATTTGCACCAGTTCTGAGTTTTTTCCGTCATTATGGACTACTGTGTTCAGGAATTTGAGGTGAATTGATTTTGTTATCAGGCTGTAACATGGCAGCATGTGGAACCAGTGAAGTGCTGTGAATCCTGCACAGATGCACTGATCCAGATCTGTTTAAGAATGAGTTTCATCAAAGCTTTGACACTTTTAAATGTGCACTAAGTCAGCAGATACTGTGAGAAGTTAAGACACGACATGAGCCGGGACACCAGCTTCATCATGTCCTACGGCCAGCAAGAGGAGGCGCGGCTGGAGGACCTCTACACGGACACTGTGATGGAACTGCTAAACGACTGCAACGAGAGCCTGGGCTTCTTAGAGAGTGTGGACCAGCTCCTGGGAGACCACGCAGCTTTCAACCCCCAAGGTGAAATCATCTACGTAATGGGGGACGCTGGCGTGGGAAAATCCATCCTTCTCCAGAAGCTCCAGAACCTCTGGTCCGTAAAAGAGTTGCAGACGGATGCCGTCTTCTTCTTTAAGTTTCGCTGTAGGATGTTCAGCACCTTCAAGGACGCAGAACAAATCTCCCTCAGAGACCTTTTGTTCAAACACAACTGCTACCCAGATCACGATCCAGACAATCAAGTGTTTGATTACATCCTGCGCTTCCCGGAGAAAGTCGTCTTTACCTTCGACGGCTACGATGAGATTCAGGAGGACGTCGACCTGATGAACCTGCCTGAGGTGGTTTCACCGGAGGATAAGGCCAACCCGCTCCAGCTGCTTATCAGCTTGCTCTGTGGGAAATTACTCAAGGGCTCTCAAAAGGTGCTGACGGCCCGGACAGGGATTGAGATCCAAAGCAGGGTGATCAGAAAGAAGGTGGCTCTGCGTGGCTTCTCCCCAGATCACCTGAAGACCTACACTGATTTGCACTTTAAGGAGCAGGAGCACCGAGAGCTGGTGTCCATTCAGCTGGATGCCAGCCCCCACCTCTGTGGACTGTGCTCCACCCCGCTCTTCTGCTGGATTGTATTCAAGAGCTTTGGACACCTGCACACGATGCACGACAGCTTTCATCTGCCCGAAACCTGCATCACGCTCACCGACATCTTCCTCCTGCTGTCCGAAGTGTTCCTCAGTCGCTCTGCCACACCTGCTCCGTCTTTGCTGAAGAAAAGCACCCGCTGCACCTCGGAGACGTTCAAAGCAGGGCTCAGGCCTCTTGCTGTGTTCGCCAAGCTGGCGCTGCAGGGGATGGAGAGAGGCAGCTTCATTTCCAGCCAAGAGGAGATCAGCGAGTGCGGTGTGATGGAGGAAGATCTGACCCTCGGCTTTCTCAGACCTGTGAGTGAGGAGGATGCCAGCGGGAGCTCCGCTACCTTCGAGTTCCTCCACGTCACCCTTCAGTCTTTCCTGGCGGCTTTTGCTCTGGTGTTGGACGAGCAGGCTGCTGCCAGCTCCATCCTCAAGTTCTTCACAGAGTGCAGCAGGAGAAGGAAGGTGTCTTGTCTGCCTCTTGATTCCTGCATAAGTAGCTCTTCAAAGCCCAGCGAAAAGAAGCCGTTTGCAACCAACGAACACCTGCAGTTCACCAACCTGTTCCTGTGCGGCCTGCTGTCCAAGAGTCAGAGAGGCTTGATGGGACATCTGGTGTCACCCGTCTTACTGAAGAAGAAACGGGCCCTGCTGAAGTCGTACCTGTCCACTAGTGTCAAGTTGCACCTGCGTGGCTTACCCCACCACGACGGCCAGGAAGGCAAGAAAGTTCACGTCTTGCCCAACTTCCTGTGGATGCTGAGGTGCATATTCGAGACGGGAAGCAAAGACATCGCTCAGATGACGGCGAAAGGCATCACGGCCGGCTTCATCAAGCTGGGTTACTGTAACGTGTACTCGGGTGACTGCACCGCCCTGAACTTTGTGCTGCAGCACCGTCAGAAACTCCTGGGGCTCGACATGGATAACAACAACATCAGCGACTATGGGGTGAAGCAGCTCAAGCCTTCCTTTTGCAAGATGACCGTAGTGAGGTGAGTGCGGCCGTGCTTTCAAACGCGTGCTTCGTTTAACTCTGAGCTCTAATGAAACTGTTCCCCTGCAGACTGTGTGTGAATCACCTGTCCGACAGCAGCATTGAGATTCTTGCAGAGGAGCTGTGCAAACACAAGGTTGTGGAGGTTTTGGGGTGAGTAAACGCTGTAACAGTAACAACAGATCAGGGTGTTGAAGGGATTACATCAACATTTGGGACCAACTGATCTGATTTTTGGATCAGATTGGGATCAGTGACACCTCAGCAGTGTTGGTCAAGTTACTTGAAAAAAGTAATCAGTAACTAATTACTGATTACTTCCCCCAAAAAGTAATCCCGTTACTTTCTTTACTTATTTCCAAAGGTAATTAATTACTTAGTTACTTAGTTACTTTTTAAAAACACGATTTACAACCTGAATAGGTGATAAAGTGATAGATCTTTCAGCCCAATTCTACTTTTTCTGCATAATCATCATACAAAATGTAATCAAATGGAAAAGTCTCTTTTTAAAACTTGTTTTATTAGTTTTAATCTTTTAACTTTATGCATCAAGCAAAAATTTAATTATCTGCAACATTCTCTGACTGGAAGAAATTAGTTTAACATTTAAACCTATTTTCTGCACATTCCAGCACATAAAATAAAATATTTTGTGTGTTTACACTCAGTCTTTCAAATAGATGCAAGTAAAACACAGCAGAAAATAAATAAAGTCAAAGACTAGCGGTCCTGTTGCTCTATTTTCACCTGTAAAGCAGGAGTGGGGTAGGCGGAGGGTTACCCTGGTGCAGGTGTGCAGCGGTCAGTGGAAGAATCCGCGAGTTTCTCTGTGAGTTTCCCATTACGTCGTAGCTACTCGGTGCTTGTTTGGAAGTTTAGGGGTTTTTTTCGCTGTAAAAAGAAGTTTTCTTCCCACGCACAACGGACACTAATGTTTTTGTCACTTTTTATGGAATCAAACTCAAAGTAAGGTCAGTACTTCCACGCTTTAAACGCTGCACGCTCATACTCTCTCTGCACTCGATATATGATCCATTGTTGATCTGCACACAGCTGTTGTCACGAACGTCGCACTCGCTTACGTCACTGTCATGAGACATTCTCGCAAAAAAATCACGGTTTTAGTAACGCAGTAACGCAGCGTTCCTACGGGAAAGTAACGGTAATCTAACGGTTACTATTTCAACGGTTTTGAAATAGTAACCCCTTACTTTACTCGTTACCTGAAAAAGTAATCAGATTACAGTAACGTGTTACTGCCCATCTCTGCACCTCAGTAGCACCCAGGGGCCCAGTCTGTTTAGTTCAGTCTTACATTGTGTGTTCACTTCTTCACACTTCAGCAGCAGTTTGCTAACGATGTGGAAGTGCTAACACAGCATGGAGGAATCTGAAAGTAAAGGCTCAGCACTGTCTGCTCTCACTCAGCGTTCAAACTCTCTCTGATCCAGTTATCTGGGTGGTAGTTGTATGAAGTTATAAACTGATTTGTGTCATTGAGCGAGTCAGTGTCACTGATACAGGAATAGCATGAAATGCATATCAAATAAAAACATAGCAAAAGCACAAAAAAAGATATGAATAAAAGAGAAATGGAGTCAGTCAAGAAATCAGATGGGCATTAACTAACAGGAAAGGTTAACTAAACAGGTTTCTAACCGTGATTTAAATGATTGGATAGCAGTTGGTTACTCCACAAATCAGGTGCAGCCACGGCAGACGCACGGTCACCTCCAGACTTCAGCCGAGATCTTGGCTGCACCAAGAGTAGATCATCTTCGTGCTCTAACAGGAATATACGATGGAAGGAGTTCAGTAAGGTAGCTCAGCGCTGTGTCGTTGATCGTTTTAAAGTAAGCAGCAGTATTTTAATTTAGATTTAATGGGTAGCCAGTGCAGGTTAGCTAGAACAGGCGTAACAGAGGCAAACCTCCCAGTTCCAGTCTGAAGGCGTGCCGCTGTATTTCTGAACAGTTTGCAGTCGATGAAGAGCAGAATGAAGACGGAAATACAGTAATCCAGCCTAGAGGTCACAAAGGCCTGAATAAGCTTTTCCAGGTCCTTATGCAGAACGTAAGGCCTGGTCTTGGAGATGAGACGCAGTTGGTAGAAACTAGATCTACAGCAGACACTTGTTCATCAAATTTAAAAGAGCTGTGCAGCAACTCACCCAAACTGCTAACAGTAGATCCAGGTGGATGCTGGGATGGTGGAGGGCTTGACACTGATGCAGCAGCACTGCTGACGTTTTTGAGGCAGAGTTAGAAAACTGCTCAGTTTGGGCTGGAGTGTTTGGTGTTGGTGTTTATATATACACACATACTTTTACAAACAACTACGGATGTCTTACAATGTTTGGAATAATGTTTTCATCTTATCTTCTTTAATTCTTTTTATTTGAGGATGCTATTCCTCTGTGCAGCTCTCTGCCAACACCTGATGTCCTTTAAATGTGCATGAAGCAGCTCGCTGTTATCCCACTTTCTCCAAAACTTGTCTGAATCCCTTTTTAAAAAACCAAAAACACACAGTGATTTATGTTTTTATATTTGTGTCCTCAGGCTTTACAACAATAACATCACAGATGTTGGAGCCCGGCTTGTTGCTCAGATCATCGAAGAATGCCCCAAACTGCGAGTTCTCAAGTAAGTTAAAAGATCTCAATTTAGGAAAAAAACCAACATACATTACTAACATTACTAACATTACTAACCTTGAATACTTTGACATTACTTCGTAGGATTGGTAAAAACAAGATCACCAGTGTTGGTGGGAGGCATCTGGCCAGCGCCATAAAGAAGAGCTCGTCAATATTCGACGTTGGGTAAGAATTCAGTGTTCATCCAGGAAATTCAGCAAAGTGCTGAGGTGTAAGAGTAAAAATGCAGCTTTAATGGTGACAGAGGAAGTTTCTAGCATTTATTCTGAGTGTTTGGGCACCACAGAAAGACACCCTGGTGACTGAAACCAGACGTGACAAAGAGAGAAATCCCTCCGAGAGGCATTTTTAGCTGTGTGGTTTAGCCCAGCTGAAAACATTTGAGGAAGCACTTGGTAACGAGGTGCCTGATCAGGCTTTCTGTGCATTTTTGCAGGATGTGGGGCAACAGCATCGGCGATGAAGGAGCAGAAGCATTTGGAGAAGCTTTGAGGAAGCACCCGAGCCTCACCAACCTCAGGCAGGAAGTTATACAAACGGCACAAACATAAAAACGCCCATACAGACTTAATGATTAAAATCTTTACTCTTTTTTTGTCTTCTAGTCTGTCGGCCAATTGCATTACATCCAGAGGTGGGCGGGGCCTGGCTGAAGCACTGAAAGAAAACACGGCGCTCAGGATATTCTGGTACGTGCAGTCTGTGTTATCCCAGT